GGAGTTATTTGTCATCAGTTGCAACGCAGAACTTCATACGTATGTACATAAGTTCATGTTGCCATACCACATTACCACAGAAAGACGCAAATGTCAGTTCAAATCCAAGAGTGATAGTGATAGTAGAAGTTTTGTAGTGTGTCGATTTACTGCGTGTTCTTAAGCTCGGTAATTAACTCGTTCAGACAATCGTTGCCAAATGGCGTCTGACGGTTGATAAATCAGAAGATGAACACAAAGTGATGAATACATTTATTCGGCACACACCACAAAGCGCAGCGGAGAAGCAGTGAATAAAACGAATGAAGCGACGTGAACTGGAGAAGGCTTTGAGTCAACTCACTGAGACAAAGCATGACTAAGAATTTATAGTCATACAAAAATAAGACAAACATATAACAGGCGAAACAGGTATGCCCAAATATGGATAACCTTCCATCTTTCATATCTCATAGCCGACTTATTAGTCCATAGAGTAGCATTCACAGTAATAACGTAGCCACTAGTTCTTACACTATAAAATTTAGTAAGAGTCAGAATTCTAGAGTTATTAGTGAGCCTCAAATCTCAGAAGTGTAAACAAACTCATGACTTCACTTAATAATGAACGTCAGAGGAGTTTATATAACTCAAAGCACTCAACTCAAACACCTCCACTGGATTTCCAACAATGAAATCAGGATGACACTTTCTCCCATATTTCTACTCCTAATTCACTCTTCTCCGTAGTTCTGGTATGTTTGTCCATTGTGTAGAATTACTGAGAAAAAACAGCTGCGAAGCAAAAGGCCTCATCTAAAATAAACCTGCGGATCCTCAATATTAAACCTCATTTGCCCAACAAAAGGTCGATCAAACAAGCAAATATGGTAGCCTCAACCTGAGTTGATACACCAACGAAATCATCGGTTGTTGTAAATACACAGATACTTGGTAACAGTACGACATCAGCAAGGAAAACGGCAACATTACAGCTCTCGAAAATCTACAAATCGGAATTAAACAGACTTTAAGCAAAATTCACTGATTTCATTTAATATTGCAGTGTCGAAAGGTAGGGCTCTCTTTGATAAAGAACAGTGGAATACCTACAGCGTAATCCTTGAAATGAGAAGCACCCCGACACTATCTATTTCAGGGTCAGAATGTAGCTAATGGTAAATCTCTTCCCTTGAGGACAACTTTAGACTCATCACAGGCAGCCGAATAAATTCTTTTAACATCAAAGAGAGCTCTACTGAAAGGTCCTTTCTGATCCCCGTCAAGCAAGGAAAACCATAGTCAGTATGAGCAACTGACAGAACATTAGTAGACATCCAAGAACAAACCAAAGTGGTGGCTCACGGGGTACACGAGCTGGTCAGTGGTTGCCTGATAGAGGCTGACGCATATGATGTACAACTATGGCGATGGCCTCCACGTAGCATAGGCCAACACATAGCCATGACAACCAGAGTTTTTTATCCGTCTCGTCTGCTACATCTCACGACTGATAATTCTGATTGTTGCGAGCTTCGGAAACCGGGAATACCTAACTGATACGCTTCAGGCTTGCTACGGTTTGTTGAATGATCTTTCTGGTGTGATTATTTGCTCTGAGATCCGATCTTCATCAGTGAAACAACAACTGGAAGGCACAATAAAGCACATATCTCTTAAAGTTCATAACTAAAAGAAAACCTTATATCTAGGCTGTTTGTGCCCTCAAAGGTCCATACGGAGAAGAGAGATAGCTGGGATCTTAAAAGTTTACTTCAGCGAACGGTTCAACCTGTCATGTCAAAGCACCGCACAACTCTACTGCCAGCTGATGCTGGCAATAAAAAGCTCAAATTCCTGCGCCCAGAAAAGTCACTAGGACGTGACAATATTTTCCCTATGGTTTTGAAACAGTGCACAGAAGCTCTCAGTTCACCAGTATGTGACCTGCCCAGGCATTTACTGACATCACAGTAACTCTCAGCTGAATGGAAACAAAGTACTCTCAGTTTACTCTTTAAAGTAGGCAAGTCTAAACATCAGGAGTTTCACAGGGGACCATTTTAGGTCCACTGTTCTTCCTGATATTTATCAATAATCGATAAGCTAAAATTAGTTCAGCGACATTGACCTACTTAGACGACTCAAAGATCCGAAGGTCCATACGAAACGAATGAGATTCAAATGAGGCTAGAATTATGCACAGTGAGTTGTAGGGGAATAATAGGCGATCTGATAATACATACAACCTAACAATTAGGCCGAATCATACAAATACAAGCATTCTGCCCGAACATCATCAGCAGGCTCCTTCAGGCAACCCTCAAAGTTGTATAGCAAACAGCGGACACTCAGGTGGACGCTCTTTTTTTTGATCAAGAGTTGTCCCAATTAGTAATGCTCTGCCAGCCAAAGTTACCGCAAAACCCTCTGTAGATAGCTTCGTCAAGACTAAATAAACACGTAATCATTTCCATTTTGGACTATCTGTGCCTGACGCATCCCCCGAAACTTTGTAGTTGTTATTACTGCCATTTCCGTAGAGCACCAACTTAATCCACATCGCTTATTATCTTTGTCTCCTTTTCTTCGCTTACACTTCTGTCCTGTCTCATATTCTTTGCGACCAATCAAACAACTAATTTATTGGTTTTTTCAGTTTTGAAATTTTCATTTTCCCACTAGCATTAAAGTTTTCTCTCCACATCGCATCTTACTGATTTCCAGCCTAGTAATGTTATAGCTGCTGTTACCCGCAAAACCTACTGCTCTAAAACAAATGCACTCACTCTAATTACTAGACATAAATAACTGCCAAGTGGCTAGAATTAGTGCAGCTGAGTGGCTCGACTACCATCCACTGGACATTACCGAAGAATACCTGCAACCGTTCTGAAAGAACAGGAATGAAGCGCAAAGAAATCAATTGGTTTATACTATCTCGAGAAAAAGATATCAGATTTCGAAAATATTGAAATCATTGTCAGTTGTCCTTTCCCCGTGTTCGATGACGCGTGTCGATGTATTGTGGATAAATTTGCACTGTTTAACTTGAGAGAATCCATCTTACCAGAGCATCTCAGTCGTTGCCTGTAGAACTATTTAAAAATCGTGGTTTATTAGATATGTATTTAAAAGTTGGTGACCTATATCACATCAGGCTTAGCAACTGTGCATGCTTGCCTTCATCCGTTCGCAGGTAATATGAAGCAAATTTTGTATTTCATTTGATGAACTATGGATGAAGCACGCATTTATCACCAACAAACTCTTGATTTTATTTGATTTACTGAGTAGCTTGCGAGTATCATAACAAAGTGATGACAATTCTAGTTAATTTGCAGAACTTTGCTTTATGCTGGGGTCAAAGATGTGTCCGTTCCATAATTATTGGGTATTAAGTGGAACATGTCTGACGACAGATACCATGAATACGTATACGTGAATTTTAAAATGCCATGTTTAAGAAGACGTTTTTCGAGACAGAGAGAACTATCGGCATTCTACAGGAACATGTTAGGGTGTCAAATCTGTAGATGATTTCTCGTTTCACATCATTAGATTTAAATAAACAGGCACTGTAAACAAACACAAAAGTGGCACATGACTACACTCTGGTCAAGGAATTACATTGTTATCAAAACAGGATGTAAGACCTGGATTCTGGGTATTTAAATCATCCACATCATTAGAGACATGGTGCAACTTCTGAAGTGATGTTTCTAAGCCTAGGATCGCAGCTTAAGCAGAGATTTTCGGGAGTACCTGTTCGCTTTTTAGCAAAATAAAATCTGGACCTGCGTCCCTGAAGACAGATTTCCCGGATATATTTGAAATGTACCAAAGTGTTTCATCCTATTTGAATTACCCCGTAACTTCCTCAGAGGAAGGGAATAGCCCTGCAGCCTATAATCTGAATGGCATTCAGACCGATTCCCCCAGCTATAAAACTCAACTTTACATCGAAAATAGTCCTGGAATGATCAAAATTACCGTAGATGAATCTTTCTGTTTTCTGACGAAGTTATAGTCTTTCCAGATAAACTCCTCAACCAGAAGCTTCATAATGGTTCGCGTTACTAGTGACTATTTTTCTTGTTGATCAATGGCATTTGAGTGAATACATATGTAAAGAAAAGCTACTCTTACTCCTCAGGGTCCTAAATTAACTTCGTTTCAGAATAAATTTTTTCTTCCTGTCCTGTATTTTTCTTACCGAGGACATTTCAGCAAATCAAGACCAACTGACTAATTATAAAACCATCAGAAACCAAGAGCTACAAAATATCAGCGTGACTATGGCTTCGACCTGAATAATCAACCTTCACATGTCACATTATTCCTTTAATGGCTGAAAAAGGTTAAATTAACTCATTGAAAGTTCGATTGATGTTATGAGTCAAGGATACCGACCTGCAGAATTTTCGCAACTAACTAAAACTTGCCATGATGCTAAAAGTTAAAGGTTAAGTTTTACAAGACAAGTTGATATTCAGATTCTGGTTAGTGAATTAGAGTTTGCATCACGAACTCATATCAACTATGAACCAATGCTTTGTCGTTCCACTCCTTACAAACTTGAGTGACATATAGTTGATAGCTGAATTACAAAAATTACTCTATTATACTGTCTGCCTTGAGAACAGTTATGCTTAGTATTATAGCTTATTCACCATCCAAAATTCACCTTCGATTGCGTAATAGGAATTTTTATAGATTTCAAGCCTTTTTAAAGACCATATCTTACCAATTTTTACTTTAGTAACAATAATTTATCTCCATACTTTCAAATTCGAGCAAAATACTTGGGGAGTTATATTATTCTGACTAGTTCACTCAAAGCCGTCAGCACGCTATACACGTCTACTTACAATTATTGAAGTGATCGTGGAATTGTAGGAAGAAAAATAACTCGTTCATATAACCTAATGTTTCAAAAGAAGAGAAAAAGAAATTTCCCGAGCTTTTCACTAAGATATAATGTTGAATACCAAAATCTGCAGCAATAGTTTTAACTGTCCTAAATACAAGGCCGTAATCGGCACAAAAATTTGAAAATATGGTTGTGACGTATAACTCGAGAAATCCAGGTTTGCTAGTTATTATTAACCAGTTTTATGTTCTTAGCTGTTAAACGATTGATGAAAGAAGCTCAAGAACTGTCAGACCCAACTGAGCTCTACTTTGCGAAACCTTTGGAGGTTCGATTGCTCTTACTTTCTGATAAATTTTGTAGGACAACCTGTTCGAGTGGCATTTCACAATTAGAGGTCCTGAAGATTCTGACTTCCAGGGTGGTGTATATCATGGTAGAATTCTATTGCCTTCAGAGTACCCAATGAAGCCTCCAAATATTGTGCTACTAACTGTAAGTATCCCCAAACCATTATTTCTACAGAATATTTTTATTGTTCGGTAGAAAAGCAACAGTTCCTGGCTTTGTAATACATTTACCTGAATTTTAAATAAACCAATAAAAACTAAGTTGACTGAATATCTATAAATTACGTACAGTAATATATAACATGTAACTGTCTAACTGTCAGTTGGCTATAAATAGGAATCGAAATATTTTTAAACATCTAGTCTGACATAAAAATAGAGATTCGATGTATGTTTATACACCTCATTCCATAACCAGCCAATTCTCAATATCATGATGATGCCTTATTGTGTATATTGTAAATGCGTATAGTGAAAGATTCAAATTCATGTTTAGTTATAACTTATTTAAAGAAAGTATGTGACAATGTTTAGAAGATTGACAAAAATGTATTCGTCTAATTTTTGATGGTGATTGCTCTCATACTGAAATCTGTATCAAGACAAGGAACAAGTGTTGTTTCGTTCACAATTTACTGTAGAATTATCATTAGTGGAATCGCATGTTTTATAAGTTGTCAAAAGTTAAGATTGTACTCAAACATGGATCTATACTGTAAATTGTTTTCAAACGACTCAATCACATAATTAACTGACATTGTAAAATTATCTGTAAGTGAGATCTGTATGATCGTCGTATATGTCTTACGTTTGTCCTAGATTCTCATATTTCAGTGACTCCAAAATCATGTCTAGTCTTTTGAGACTCAAGCATATAACCATCAGGCTTACTTTAAATAGAATTTGCACGTATATTCTAGTTTAATCAATCACCATGGGTTTAAGTAACATTTCAACAAACGCTATTACTCCAGTTGTGATCCTGTAGGCCTGCCATCAAAATATTATTTGGTCTTCATAGTTTTTCTGTTTATTATCCGTCCAGTCTTAATACGGAACTGGATAGAATAGATGGATAGATGTATTGACTGTAGTGTCGATCTTAAGATTATGGGTAATGTATCTTAATCATTTGAAATTAAGTCTGATACTCGTTTCGTCCAGATAATTTGGCATTTATGATACGGCGCAACCTGTACGAAACCTAAAACACTAGCTCAAAATGCCATCCAAGTTTTGGTGAGTCCGTAGATGCATTGATTGTGCCTTTATTCCTACTACTGGGAAAGACTGAAGAGATATAGTCTCCTGTGTGGCACAGTAAAAAGTACTTTTATCAAACCAAAAGAACATCCTAAGTTGAATTATCAATTATATACTTTAATATCCTAAAGTATTGTCAATATAGCTCAGAATTGAGTTTAGTAACAACCGTGTTATAACTTAATTTTGTGTTTTTCAACACATTGCTATGAAAAATTCAGTCACTTTATAGTTGTTCTTTTGCATACATGTAGGATTGCCATAAATATTTATTGGTACACGATTTTATTTCTTATCTCTTCAGCCAAATGGACGTTTTGAAATACATCGTAAAATATGTTTAAGCATATCAGGATATCATCCAGAATCATGGAGACCATCATGGTCTATTCGTACTGCATTATTAGCGTTGATTGGATTTATGCCTACACATGGTGTCGGTGCAATTGGTTCATTGAATCAACCAAAAGAAGAACGTCAATTATTAGCTCGCAAGTGTGTTATATTTTTTTTTGTTTTTACTTGTCAAGTTAATCTTATGTACATTTATTATTTCAGTCAGTCAGTCAGTTGCAACGTAAAACTACGTACATATGTACATAAGTTCATATTGCCATACCACATTATTAGCACAGAGACGCAAACGTCAAATCAAATCCCATAGTGATAAAGACAGTAGAGGTATTAATGGTAATGAAGAAGACTAGGGTTTGAAGATATTATTCAAGAAGTATAATTCAGTGAGATAAGGTTAGAAAGACAAAGGTCGAGGTTCTGACCAATCCAGAAGATTAGGATTTGAGAGAGCACAACGAATGGATGCACCGGCGCCATTGCAAACGATTTTGAGCCGTTTCATTCAAGGTCTCTAACCATTGGTGACTTTTGTCTCGCGGACCCCAACCAGGTAGTCCACATCTACCAACATGACTCAGTCCACTAGTCAGTGACTTCATGGATTTCTGCAATGTTTTGGTCTGGCCGCCCCTAGCTCATTTATTTATTTCTGTGTAGAACAATTTGTATTGGTTGTTCGTTTACCTTCTCATTGAATAATAATTGTAACAAGCTGTTGTCTTTTGACTTTTGCAGTCATCCTCCTAACTTAACAAAACTGTCAGCTCTCATGAGTAAATTTTCTTACATTGTACAGAGTGTAGCAGTGGTTCATTTGTCCAAGTGTTTGACTACCAACCAGCATGTCACAATTTCGAACTCCAACGCATTTAATTCTCTTTAGGCAAACGGGAAGTACCACTAACCCTTACCTCTATAGTCTTTACTTGGTAAGTGAGTTTAAAAACACAATGTCGACAACAAGGTGGCGTCAATTGCCTATGAAACCTCATGACAGCACTCTAGTTAACTTACTGTCTAAAATAAAACCTTCATCTCTTTTTAATAGTTTTAATTAGGTTATGAATATTTTTTAAACAATACAAGACCATTTTTATGATGGATTCTGACAAAAAACTCCTACTTTTCAACCAATTTTACGACTAACTTCAATTATTTTAGGAACTTCGTATCATTCTAGATAAGTTTATGATAATCTGAAGCTATAAATCTCTGCGGAAATCTGTACTGGAATAATAAATTGACTTTAAGACTTCCAGCTTTTTTACTAGCTTAATGCTTTTCTGAAAAAATAAACTTATATTGTTTTTTTTAAAAAGTAATCTAAAATATGACTTTTTATAGTGATAGTTGTTTTTTGAAGCATGTTCTATGTAACTGGAACCACCCACACTAACTGTGATTATCGAAATCCATACTGAAGACCAGATATATCAATCAATAAAACTATTCTCTATCATATATATTAAAATATAAAAACCAATACTCTGATGTAACCAAATTTCATGGTCACATGTTAATATTTAAGACTGTTAGTTGATATATATATATATATATATATGTTTTATACCACACTGTCCCTGACTCTTTTGTGATTAATAAAACTTTATTTTATGCCTACACATATAGGCGTCCTACAATAGTTGTCTTCCTGGACCGTAAGGCGGCATTCGACTCAATGGATCGTGAGGTTCTGTGACAGTGTCTGTCATTGAAATGTGTACATTGAAAGAAGTACATTAACCTTATACAAGCTGTCTACTCGAACATTACAGGTCCAGTGAGAGCTTATGGCGAACTGTCATCGAAATTCTTTACTTCAAGTACTGTCCGTCAGGGATGCCCACTCTCTTCATTCTTGCTTAATTTTATCATAGACATGCTCCTAGATATAACCTTGTAATCGTCTGAACTTTGAGGAGTAGACCTTTTATCAGGTGGCTCGCTTATTGACTTAAAATATGCCGATGACATTGTCCTACTTGGTGAAGACACTGACAAAGTGCAGAGTCTTCCGACCACCCTAAGCAACAATGCAAGCATGTTCCGGAATGCGGTTTTCCTCCTCAGTAGTAGTGGTAGTGGCAGTAGAGGTAGTCGAAGAAGAAGAAGAGGTGGCAGACGGTGTGTCTTGTTGTTGTTGTTGAACTGAAGTAGTGTCCGATTTTTCTTTCTAATAATTGAAAATAAAAAAAATCAAATTCATTGGCTAAATTGGATATTTTAGTTAAAGAAAAATATGCATGAATAGAATGGATTTCATAACACTATACTCTTGAGTAAAAATGTCTTTCGATTTTCCCCCTTAGCTCGGATACAGAAGTCTCGATTGGCTTTTGCCAATCTGCGTCACTTACGGCGAAGGCGAGATATCCGTTTGTTGACTAAAGGACGAGTGTACTGTGCAGTAGTTCGCTCCGTCTTACTTATGGCTGTGAAACATGGCCAGTGAGAGTAGAAGATATTCGTAGGTTACTGGTTTTCGATCATTGGTCTCTTCGAAGCATTTCTCGTATATCCTGGGACACCCGAGTGAGCAACGCTGTTATTAGGAAGCGGGTGCTAGGTAAGAATGGCAGATCAATAGATGAAGTAATGAAACTTTATCAGTTAAGGTGGTTGGGACATGTGCTGCTTATGCCTGACCACCGACTGCCTCGTCGAGCTTTGTTTTGTTGTGTAGGAATAGGTTGGAAAAAAGTTAGGGGCGGCCAAACCAAAACATGGCAGAAATCATTGACAAGTGGACTGAGTCTTGTCGGTAGTTGTCGACTACCTGGTTGGGGTCCGCGAGATGATAATAATCGATGGTTAGAGACCCTGAATGGCGCCGGTGCATTTATTCTTTATGTTCTCTCAAATCCTAATCTTCTGGATTCTTCAACACCTCTAGTTTTGTCTTTCTAAACTTATCTCACTAAATCATACTTCTTGAATAATATCTTCTAATCCTAACCTCTCCGATTACTGCTAATACCTTAACTACCTCTTCTACTCTATTGGATTTGAATTGACAATTATATGTCTGTGCTGATGTGGTATGGCAACATGAACTGATGTACTTATGTACGAAGTTCTACGTTGCTTCCGACTGACTCTGACTGATTTTATGCCTAACTCTATATTAAATTTAATGAGTGAAAACTTTCGAACTATACCAGTAATGCTAAATAACCAGGGAGAGATTTTTATTGGTTTTGATTTTTAGAAAAAGCTGTTATTTTGGCATCCTAGATAATATTTCTCATAGGCTTTTATTTTTATAAACTGTGAATATTAATTTTTTGGTAAACGGTAATTCAACTAATATGTATGTAAGCACTAGGTAGCTTTGTGGTTAAAACAGTTGGTTTCCAAGCATTGAATTATGAGTTTAAAGTTTATCTCTACATTTGTTAGCTTTACGCAACCAGGTAGAGAGTTATACTAACCTTGACATAGAAAATTGAGGATTATAGTGGAGTTTCGTCTTATGAACTGGATATTTTGGCTGTGGAGCTTTCATTGTTCTTCTGAACGATGATAACATCATCAGCACAAACTTTATGTATCGACGTGAAGTATTCACATTTCTCCACATACGACCTCGATCTTGATTGGTTATTATTGACCTACCTGATGATGATGTTATCGTTCAGAGGAACAATGAAAGCTTCACAATCAAAATATCCAACGCAGCGAACGAAACTCCACCGAAATCATCCATATGAGCTACAAATTTTCCCCACTGTCTAAAAACTAAGAGTTTTTAGCTTATAGTCTTACAAAATTTATTAAGAGTTCTGAGCTTCACTTGTAATTTTCAATCTACCTTTCCATCTTGAGACAATATGTAAGCACAGAAGTAATAATAATGGTTTCATTCAGTAGTATACGTTTAGTACAATATGGAATTCTGGTCACTGAATATTTCAACAAGCTTCTTTTATAAATAAAATTAGTGTTCGGCAGTTGGAAGTAAGCAGTTTAGGTATCTATATCGTGGTAACGTTCATTCTTGTTTCAGCATTCAGTATAAGAAAGTAGTAAAACTTCAACGCTGAAACCGACTCAACACTACTTTGTTGCTTGCAGCAGTAGTTGTAATCAGGAGGAAGACGTCAGTGTTGCGTCAATAAACACACACACACACAAACAGTTAGTCAGTGATGATGATGATGATGATGATGAGAAGAGAGAATTCGATATTTTAAAAAACCAGCGAAAAGAAATCACATATTACATTAGGTGAACCGATTAAATGAGTAACAATACAAGAAGTCAGTTCGTCAGTCAGTTGCAACGTAGAACTTCGTACGTATGTACATAAGTTCAAGTTGCCATACCGCATTAGCACAGAGACGCAAATGTCAAATCAAATCCCATACTGATAAAGATAGTAGAGGTATCAATGGTAATGAAGAAGACTAGGGTTTCAAGATATTATTCAAGAAGTATAATTCAGTGAGATTAAGGTTAGAGAGACAAAGGTAGAGGTGCTGACGAAGCACAACAATTTGTCTCAGCAGATTGTCAGCCATCGAGATGTCTCGGATTGTAGTGCATTTACGAAGCGTGTGAAGCGACAGCTCGTAATATTTTTTTTACATATACGCGCCTGAATAGATTATGCAGTTCATAAACATAAAAGACGTGTTAAGAAACAAGTAACCCAGATATTCAAACAGACGGCCAGTAAATTTGGTATGCCGAAACTGGCCTAGCTCATTTCTTAATTATTCAACTCGAATTTGAAACTGATTTCACTCAATTTGCCGAACGCGCTAACCCATTGCGCCACGGAGGTCCGCGAGATGATAATAATCGGTGATGGTTAGATACCCTGAATGACATGGCTCAAAACCGTTCGCAATGGCTCCGGTGCATTTATTCTCTGTGTTCTCTCAAATCCTAATCTTCTGGATTCTTCAACCCCCCTAGTTTTTACTTTCTAAACTTTTCTCACTGAATCATACTTCTTGAATAATAATATCTTCTAATCCTAACCTCTCCGATTACTTCTAATACCTTTTCACTACCTCTACTACTCTATTGGATTTGAATTGACAATTACATCTTTGTGCTGATATGTGGTATGGCAACATGCACTGATGTACTTACGTACAAAGTTCTACGTTGCATCTGACTGGCCTGACTCACTTCACTCAATTTAATCTTATCTAACTAACAGCAAAGCAACATCATGGCTCTAAAAATATTGAAAAAATGTTTAAAATCAGTTGGAAAATAATTATTTACAATTTTTGCAATAGTTCAAATATAATATTGTCGTTATTATTATACTAGTAATTCGTTTTTTTTTGTATTTTAGATCACAAAGTTACGTTTGTAGTATATGTGGACCAATTCATAATTTACTTTTGCCTTTAACAATTGCTTCATCATCAATGAATAAAGAAGCTAGTGAAGCTGCTGCTCAAATATCTATGATGGTAATTTTGCTTTGTTTTTTCTGTTTGTTTACTTTTCATCATTCATTTGTGCTGCCTTACTTATTTACTTACACCTGTTACCCCTAATGCTGTTGTACTAGGGGGTGTAGGAAGGATTTGATTTTGACCAATTTGGTCTAGTGTGCTGTTATGGGGTATGAGGGCGGTTGTCACTTTCCAGGCTGCCCACACCACTGGAAGGTTGTTTCTTGAGGAACCTGAAAAGGAAGATAGATTATTGTGTTGGTCTTAAAGACCTGGGTGCGTGACTGCAGAGCCCAAGGGACAACTGATTGACGCCGGTCACGCACGGCCCTTTTATGAAAGGATTTTTAAGTGTTAGCTCCGCTCTTAAAAGCCCTTAGTGGGCACCCTTACCACGGCAGACGGGAATCCGTGAGTTAGAGTGAGGTGTGACATTTTTAGGGTCAATCTTTTCTAACCCTTCCTTCCTTCCTTGTGAGGAGGCAGCATCGCTGCAGATGCTAGTTGTCTGAGGGAAACATCTTACTGCTGTCACACCCCTCTGCAGTCAGTCAGCAGTACGACTTCGCCCTCAGACCTTGAGTAGCTGCTTTTAGTCTCATCGTTCTCCAATCGACCTGCCTGGCATGGTAGAACCTTCAGGAACATATGTTCCATCCAATATAGCTCGGTTGGGTCATCACGATAGTCAAGCCCAACTACCACGTCAAGGTAGCAGCTACGGTCAGAAATCCATGAAGTCACTGACTAGTGCATTGAGTCATGTTGGTAGATGTAGACCACGTGGTTGAGGTCCGCGAGACGATAGTCACCGATGGTTAGAGACCTTAAACGAATGGTTCAAAATCGTTTGCAATGGCGCAGGTGCATCCACTCTGTGTTCTATGAAATTCTAAGCTTTTGCATTCCTCATAATCTCTACCTTTCTCCTTCTAAATTTATCTTACTGAATTATACTTCTCGAATCATATCTTCGTTCCCTAATCTTCTCCATTACTGCTAATACTTCTATTATCGCTATCACTCTTGTATTTGAACTGACAGTTGCGTCTGTGTGCCGATGGGGCATGGCAACCTGAAATGATGTACGTATGTACGAAGTTCTGAATTGTATCTCTGTCTGCTGCACTATAGGCCGTCGAACAACATTCTCCAACCTACTCTGTCCTGGGTCTTCCTTTCTAGTTCTGTCCTGTTGTTTTTTATTCTTCTCATGTCCGTCTCCGGATTTCGACATAATGCGTCTTTTGACCTTCCTCTTTTCATTTTACCTTGAGGATTTTAGGTAAGGGCTTGGTATGTGACGCTGTTAGGTGCTTGTCTCAATGTCTGTCCTATATACTTCTAGCGCTTTTTCCTCATTTCTCCCTCCGGTGGAATTTGGTTTGTTCTCTAACACAGTAGGTTGTTGCTGATGGTATCTGGCCAACGGATCAGAAGTATTTTGCGTATTTGTTCTACCTGACAAAAAGTAAACCTTCAAAGCATTGCTTGTGTCTTTCGAGACCACTGAGTAAGGATTGTTGAGGTTAGGAATGGAGTACTGGATAAAAATGGCAAATCGATTCATCAGCTGAGATGGTTAGGACGTGCGTCATGTGCGTCCAGTTACGTAACACATATCCCAAACACCTTAGTTGATAAAGATTCACTACTTGTTCCGTGGACTTTCCATCCTTACCTAATACCGTATTCCTAGCCCCTCAGCATCATTTACTCGATGGTCACGGAATACATGAGCAGTGCTTCGAAGATATCTACGACTATCTTCCATTCATGGTGGTTATGTTTCACACCTGTTTAGTAGTGTTACGCCTGCACGTAAACACATCAACTTGATATACTTGAACTATTCCGAGCTTATGTAATCGGAAAACGAGAGCGAGGATCCGGCGACACAACATGCTACTCAAATTCGATTATCCCAACCCCCATATTGAGTAAAAATAAGATGACTTGATATGAAGTAGAACCTGTATTCTACAAGCATTCAGAAAGTACGAGGTCCGAATCCAGAAGAGAATTAGGATCCTGGACTAGGGATCCGGGACCGAGCCCTGGTCCTGGTCGTGGTCATTAATCGTTACAGATAATGAGTATTTATACATTTTGATCGAATAGGAAACAGCCTCGAAGTCTGTGACATTGACAGTTAAGACGACCAATAAGAAGCAACATTTGAAGTGACATTGATAGTCATGACAACCAATAAGAAAGAGCATTGGAGTACGTGACATTGATATCTAGGACTACCATAAAATTGACCAGTAGGAATTAACAAATAGGAATTGACCAATAATTGTCTTAGGTTATTGGATGAATATCCTAACAAGTAGAACGAAGCAAACTGCTTTGTAGTAAACTAGCCCTTTAATTAGAAGACGAATATCTCTTCTACACCACAAGTAACGCTTTGGTCAGTTCAATAACATTTAATAATTGATTCCATACTATCTTTTAGTTAATTCCAGATTCATTTCAATGTGTTTTTCTGTTAGTTAGCTAACATTATAGTGTAACAATGTAGTAATCCAGTTGAATATACTTTCTTTCCCTGCTTCCTTTTTCCTCCCACACACTCATATGTAATAACTTCTTATCCCCATTTTGCACATTTGAAACCTCTTTTATTTTACTTACGCCTGTTACACCCACTCTAATTGAGCATAGACCGGCAGTCAGTCAGTCAGTCAGATGCAACGTAGAACTTCGTACGTAAGTACATCAGTTCATGTCGCCATACCACATCAACACAGAGATATAATTGTCAATTCAAATCCAATAGTAGAAGAGGTAGTAAAGGTATTAGAAGTAATCGGAGAGGTTAGGATTAGAAGATATTATTCATGAAGTATGATTCAATGAGATAAGTTTAGAAAGTAAAAACTAGAGGTGTTGAAGAATCCAGAAGATTAGGATTTGAGAGAACACAAAGAATAAATGCACTGGCGCCATTGCGAACGATTTTGAGCCATGTCCTTCAAGGTCTCTAGCCATCGATTATTATCATCTCGCGGACCCCAACCAGGTAGTCGACAATTACCGACATGGCTAAGTCCACTAGTCAATGACTTCATGGATTTCTGCCATGTTTTGGTCTGGCCGCCCCTAGCTTTCTTCCAACCTATTCCTACACTACAAAACAAAGCTCGACGAGGGAGTCGCTGGTTAGGCATACGCAACACGTGTCCCAACCACCTCAACTGATGAAGTTTCACCACTTCATCGATTGGTCTGCCATTCTCACCTAGCACCCGATTCCTAATAACAGCGTTGCTCACACGGTTGTCCCACGATATACGAGCAATGCTTCGAAGACATCTATGATCGAAAACCAATAATCAACGAATATCTTCTACTCTCACTGGCCATGTTTCACAGCCATATAGTAGGACGGAGCGAACCACTGCGCAGTACACTCGTCCTTTAGTCAGCAGACGGATATCTCGCCTACGCCATAAGTGACGCAGGTTGGCAAAAGCCAATCGAGCCTTCTGTATCCGTGCCGAGATTTCGTCAGTCACCAGGCCATCGGCACTGATGAGACTCCCGAGATAAGTGAAGCGGTCTACACGTTCGACTACTTCACTCCCTATCACTAGTTCAGGTGCCGTTGCAACCCAGTCTTGAAGCAACATTTTGCATTTCGAGGGGGAAAACCGCATCCCGAACATGCTTGCATTGTTGCTTAGGGTAGTCAGAAGACTCTGCATTTTGTCAGCGTCTTCACCAAGTAGGACTATGTCATCGGCATATTCTAAGTCAATAAGCGAGCCACCTGGTAAAAGGTCTACTCCTGAAAATTCAGACGAGCATAAGGTTATTTCTAGGAGCATGTCTATGATAAAATTAAACAAGAATGGAGAAAGTGGACATCCCTGACGGACACCACTTGATGTAGAGAATTCCGATGACAGTTCGCCATAAGCTCTCACTCGACCAGTGGTGTTTGAGTAGAGAGCTTGTATGAGGTTAATGTACTTATTTGGTACACCTTTCAATGACAGACACTGCCACAGAACCTCACGATCCACTGAGTCGAACGCTGCCTTAAGGTCCAGGAAAACAACTATTGTAGGACGCCTAAATGTGTGTCTGTGTTCCAGGACCTGTCTTAGTGTGAAAATGTGGTCTATACAGCCACGTCCAGCTCGGAAATCAGCCTGGTTTTCTCGAGTCTGCTCTTCACGAGCTTTCGTTAAGCGTCGAAGTATTATTGAGGCCAATATTTTAGATACTATATTAGTTAGACTTATTCCCCTGTGATTGTCACAAGAAGACTTCTGTCCTTTCTTATAGATTGGGACAATCAGTGATTGAGACCAGTCGGATGGGATTACGTCCAGTTCCCAGATTCTACCTAAGATCTCAGTCAACCTAGCTGCTCAAACTGGACCACCATCCTTAAATATCTCAGGGGTCAGTCTATCAGGACCTGCAGCTCGTCCTCGCTTCAGATTTCCTAAAGCTTTTTCAACTTCATTAAGACTAGGGGGACTTACGTCGATTTGCCATTCAGGATGACTGGAGATCGTGGGTAACCGAAGAGTGGCTCGAGGCCAGTTGAACTGATCCCTAAAGTGTTCTGCCCATCGATCCAGTCTCCTGGATTGAGAATGAATAATAGTCCCGTCATTTTCTGAGATAGTCTCGCTTACACTAGGATTCCTAATACCAGTTTCCTTGATAAGTCGGAAAAGTTGTCTACTGTTGCCTATCGCCGCTGCCTTTTCCATCGCTTTTGCTTTCGCCACCCACCACTGTTCGCGATCGTTACGTAGGCTTTTTATAAGTCTGCGCCTAAGTTGACTTCGTTCTTCATCATGTTCAGAGCCAGGTGGGATGAGTTTTCGGGCATCCATCAGATCGGTGGATGCTACTGAGATCCACGGTTTCATTCTAGCCTTATGGTCAACCTTACTAGCAGATATCACTGCTGTTTCCACAGCCTTTTTGATATCATTCCATCCTGCTTCCGGATGGGAATCGCTTAATTGGTCGCCTAACTGTCTTTCTAGTTGTTCCTGAAATATATTTTTCGCCTTATTATCATTAAGTAAAACCCTAAGAGGCTTTCTTACGGTGTCTTTCCTACGCCCAGTAAGCTTCAAACAAATACGCGCTCGCACTAGGGCATGATCTGAATCCAAACATGTGCCCCAGAACGAGCGACAGTCCTCTATCGAACCCCTCCATCGGTGGCTGATGGCGATGTGATCTAGTTGAGTCCAACGTTGAGACGACTTTGGAGGTCGCCAGGTCAACAGATGCTTTTCCTTATGCCTAAAGTTAGTGTTTGCTAAGAATAGGCGGTTGTCTGAGCATATTTGCAACAGACGGTCACCATTGTCTGTTCTCTGAGCCGGGACACCATAACATCCACCTAGGTGTCTCTCCTGCTCACTTAGTCTACCTACTTGAGCATTAAAGTCACCAGCCATTATTACTATATCAGAGCGCCTAGCTTTTTGGAGGAGGTCCGAAAGCTTTCTGTAAAACTCATCCTTAACCTCGTCTGAACTGCATTCAGTGGGGGCATAGGCAGATACGACGAAGAGGCAACGGCGATTGTCCCTATCTTTCCGAGTCCTTACTGTCCCGTTTAGTCGGACAGCGCACAATCGACTATCTACAGGGATCCAGTCAAGGAGAGATAATTCTGCCCTACGACTCAATGCTATGCCTACGCCAGCAAGACCCCGGGAAGCAGCATCAGGGCTACCGGATACACGAAGGGTAAATCGAGCTGCTTCTTTATTTTGACATGGTGTGGTCAAGTGTATGACGTGACTCGGATCCTGTATGCGCGTTTCCGAGACGCAGCATACATCGATGGCACGAGATTCTAAAGTCCTAGCTAAGGAAGCCTGTTGCCCTATTTGACACAATGTCCGTACATTAAATGCTCCAACATGTAGTCTAGAGCGAGGTTTAAGGAGACCAGGAACGACGTTTCGCGAACTCGTATCGTCTGCATTAGCTGTACACTGTGATGAATGAATGTGAGAAGAGTTAGTCGTGGAGATAAGAGAGGTACTAGGGGGTGTAGGAAGGATTTGATTTTGACCAATTCGGTCTCGCGTGCTGTTATGGGTATGAGGGCGGTTATCACTTCCCGGCTGCCCACACCGTGGAAGGTTGTTTCTTGAGGAACCTGAAAAGGAAGATAGATTAGTGTTGGTGCGTGACCGCAGAGTCCAAGGGACAACTGCTTGAGGCCAGTCACGCATGGCCTTTTTATCAAATGTTTTTTGAGGATTAGCTCCGTTCTTAAAGGCCCTTAGTGGGCACCCTTACCCAAGGAGACGGAAATCCGTGAGTTAGGGGAGGTGTGACATTTTTAGGGCCGACCTTTTCTAACCCTTCCTTCCTTGTGAGAAGGCAGCATCGCTGCAGATGCTGGTTGTCCGAGGGAAACACCTTACTGCTGTCACACCCCTCTGCAGTCAGCAGTACGACTTCGCCCTCAGACCTTGGGTAGCTGCTTTTAGTCTCATCGTTCTCCAATCGACCTGCCTGGCATGGTAGAACCTTGAGGAACATATGTTCCAGCCAGTATAGCTCGGTTGGGTCATCACGATAGGCAAGCCCGACCACCACGTCAAGGTAGCAGCTACGGTCGGGCATAGACCGGCGACCAGCATTCTCTAATCTACTCTGTTCTGGGCCTTCCCTCTCCAGTTCTGTTCAACTGTTGTTCATTTTTCTCATGTCTTTCTCCATTTCCCAGCGTAATGTCTTCTTTGGTCTTCTTTTCCTTTGGCCTTGAGGATTCCAGGTGATGAGGGCTTGTCTTATGACGCATCTTCGATGCTTCTTCCTGATTTCCCCCTCCGCTGGAATCTGGTTTTTACTCTACCACAATAGGATAGCGTGTGGCCAATGAATCCTCATTATCTTGAGTAGATAACTATTAACAAACACTTGTATGTTCCGGCCGAAGCTGTTATCTTGACGTGGTGGTCAAGCTTGACTATCGTGATGACCCAGCCGAGCTATATTGGATGGAACATATGCTCCTGAAGGTTCTACCATGCCAGGCAGGTCGACTGGAGAACGATGAGACTAATAGCAACTACTCAAGGTATGAGGGCGAAGTCATATTGCTGACTGCAGAGTGGTGTGACAGCAGTAAGGTGTTTCCCTCGGACAACTAGCATCTGCAGCAATGCTGCCTTCTCACAAGCAAGTCAGGGGTTAGAAAACGTCGATCCTAAAAATGTCAAGCCTCACCCTACCTCACGGATTTCCGTCTCCGGTGATAAGGGTGCCCACTAAGGGCTTTTAAGAGCGGAGCTAACACTCAAAAATCCGTTAGTGAAAAGGCCGTGCGAGACTGGCCTCAAGCAGTTGTCCCTCGGACTCTGCAGTCACTCTCTAGAGGTCTATAAGACCGACACTAATCCTTTTCAGGTTCCTCAAGAAACAACCTTCCATGGCGTGAGCAGCTGGGAAATGATAACCGCCCTCATACCCCATAACAGCAAGCGAGACTAAATCGGTGATAATCAAATCCTATGGTTCCGGATGATAACTTTTGTCTGAAATCTAACCACAGCTATAAAATGAAAACTGAGTTCATTCATTTCTCTTTTAATTAATTAATTTATTTATTAATTGATGATTTCAAATGTATAAAAACACAAAACCTGCAAAAACTTTGCCCGAAAATATCGTAACAGTGCTCACTAGTAAGTGACAAGCTTCTTCGTGAGGAAATTCTCAGAGTTCTAGAGTAATGAGAAGACGTGACCACCAATGGAGTTCAGCTCTGTCGGGTGTTGTAGGCAGTAACTAACTAACTACCAAAGACAAATATGGGTGAGGTCGCGCAAAAATCCCTAGATCAATCAAAGTTAGACATTAACACACCGTTGGAGATACCAGCCGGCCAGTTCAGTGGTCCGATGGTTAGGCGTTCGTTCGCTGCACAATACCGATAGTCCCAGGTTCGAATCCTATGAGATGCACTGGATGCGCACTGCCACTGAGTGATGAGTCCCATATACCAGGACGAAACGAGGCCGTCTTGCAGTGCTTCTTCCAGGTTTCTTCTAATGATGGTCTGACGATGATTAATCAATTAATTAATTAATTATTCATTCTAATAATATTTTTTTTTTAAAAAAAACCTTAATTTTTATTGTTTAGAGTGAAGAAGAAGTGAAAAATAAGAAATCACTTACCAAATCAAATACACCTACTACTCCTACTCCTACTCCTACTTCTTCTACTACTACAACAACAACACTACAATCGAATTCATTCTCTACAAGTTCATCATCATCATCCTGTAATTTCACATGTACTACTCCTGCTACTGCTGCTACTACTACTACTACTTCATTTCCAACAATGCCTTCCATTCCTATCATACCTACTATGCTGCCTATGGATGAAAATATACATTCTTCTTATACATGGCCAAAATTCTCAGCATCAACATCAACATCATCATCGTTTGGCATGTATCCTTGCCAAAATGAAAATAAAACATCACAAATTGCTTATTGGTTATGTTTCCCTGTGTATTATTATTATCCTATGACCCCATTTCCTATGACTATGAACTCAGCATCAACACCATTGGTTGGATCAAATCTAACAGCTAGCAACAACAACTGCAGTGGTACTAGCATGAATGGAGAACGTGTACCTTTAAGTTTTAGTGAATGGTTAAAAAGTGTACGTGAAGTAAGTGATGTTCAAGTTGAATTCATTTTTATTTTTGTTTATAGTCTGATTAATTTTTTTCATTGAAAAAAAAACCTTAAATCAGATCAATCTATCAATTCAGTATTGAGTCAGTCAATCAGTCAGTTAGTCAGTCAGTCAGTTGCAACGTAAGAACTTCGTACGTATGTGTACATAAATAAGTTCAGGTTGCCATACCACCACATTATTAGCACACAGCGACACCAATGTCAAATCAAATCATCTCATAGTGATAGTAGAGATAGTAGAGGTATTTAGTGGTAATGAAGAAGACTAAGGGGGTGGTTTGAAGATATTAATTATTCAAGAAGTAGAATTCAGTGAGATAAGATAAGGTTAGAAAAAGACAAAGAAAGGTAGAGGTGTTGACGAACAATCAACAAGACTAAAAATCCGACTAAACTGAATAGGATGTTGATGATGAGACTACGTGTGTTTGTCCCAATTAGAGTTATGGAGATTGTTGCACGTTGAAATCATCAACCAATCAATGAATCATTGTTGTTAGACCACCATTAGCAGAAACCTGGAATAAGCAATGAAAGACGGCTGTTTCATCCTGGTATGGAACTCATCAGAGTCGGTGCACATCCACAACTCCTGCACCTCGCAGGATTCGAACACAGCACCTGCTTCGAAGCATTGCTCGTATATCCTGGGACACACGAGTGAGCAACGCTGTTATTAGGAAACGGATGCAAGTTAAGAATGGCAGATCAATAGATGAAGCGCTGAAGCTTCATCAGTTGAGATGGTTGGGACATGTGCTGCGAATCCCTAACCACCGACTGCCTTGGTGACCTATGTTTTTTAGTGTGGGAATATGTTGGAAGAAAGCTAGGGGCGGCCAAACCAAAACATGGCAGAAATCCATGAAGTCACTGACAAGTGGACTGAGCCATGTCAGTAGTTTTCACCTACCTGGTTGGGGTCCACGAGATGATAATGATCGATGGTTAGAGACCTTGAATGACATGGCTCAAAACCGTTTGCAATGGCGCCGGTGTATGAATTCTTTGTGTTCTCTCAAATCCTAATCTTCTGGATTCTTCATCACTTTATCTTCACTGAGTCAAACTTCTTGAATAATATCTTCTAATCCTAACCTCCCCGATTACTTCTAATACCTTTACTACCTCTTCTACTACTATTGGATTTGAATTGACAATTATATCTCTGTACTAATAATGTGGTATGGCAACATGAACTGATGTACTTACGTACAAAGTTCTACGTTGCATCTGACTGACTGACTGACCTAGTACTTGCGGTCTTTCTCACGAACGCCTAACCTCTGGACCACTGGGCCGGCATCTGACGGTGTCAATGTTTAACTATGATCAATCTACATATTTTGCACGACCTCATTCATTTGTTTTTGGTAGTCACTACCTACACACACACACACACACTTCTGATGAGTTCCATACCAGGAAGAAACGGCCGTGTTCCACTGCTTCCAGGTTTCTTCTAATGTTGGTCTAACAACAATAATTGATTGATTGATTGATTGATGATTTCAAATGTGCAATAATACTTGTGAAATCAAACGAAATTCTCACCTGTACGTGTGAGTAATACATTCTAATTATATATAATTTTTGTAGTTTAAAAAAACGACCAACATAACTCTGTGTCATTCAATCAATTCACTCCTCAGTAATGAACATACTACACTAATGAAACGTGCTTACTTGAATTTAAAAAAAAATTTTACAATATTCTTATTTATAACTTGATTATATCAACATTATAAATAGTAAATAACTTATTCTTTTTAGTGGTGAAATTCTAAGGACACACTTATGTAAAGAGAGATCTTATGTAGTGAGAGAGAGGGAGAGAGATTTCAGTTACCTTAAATCAATGACACTATATATGCAGTAGTAATCTGTGTGTGTGTGCGTGTGTGTGGATATCGTAAAGGGGTTTTGTTGAATTTTAATATCTACAATCATTTGAAAATCGCGAAATAAATCATGTAGAGGGATTTAAAAGAAAATATTCCTGTGAACTAGTCTACTGCACACTTCTGTGCACTCAGTCTCTTACTTTGTGGTGGTTGTGAAACACCACCGGTAAGAATAGAGGATATTTGTAGGCTATTAATATCCGATCATCAGTCAGTCATTTGCCACGTGGAACTTGGTACGTAAGTACATCAGTTCATGTTGCCATACCACATTATTAGTACAGAGATATAATTGTCAATTCAAATACAATAGTAGTAGAAGAGGTAGTAAAGGTATTTTAGAAGTAATCCGAGAGGTTAGGATTGGAAGATATTATTCAAGAAGTATGATTCATTGAGATAAGGTTAGAAAGAAAGGTAGAGGTTTTGAAGAATCCAGAAGATTAGGATTTGAGAGAACACAAAGAATAAATGCATCTGCACTATTGCAAACGACTTTGAGCCATGTCATCCCACGTCTCTAACCATCAGTGACTTTCGTCTCGTGGACCCCAACCAGGTAGCCTACATCTACCAACATGACTCAGTCCACTTGTCAGTGACTTCATGGATTTGTGCCATGTTTTGGTTTGGCCGCCCCTAGCTTTCTTCCAACCTACTCCTACACCACAAAACATAGCTCGACGAGGCAGTCAGTGGTTAGGCATACGCAACACATATCCCAACCACCTCAACTGATGAAGTTTCACCACTTCATCTATTGATCTGCCATCCTTACCTAACGACAGCATTGCTCACTCGGTTGTCCCACGGTATACGAGCAATGCTTCTTAAACATCTATGATCGAATACTAGTAACCTACGAACATCTACTCTTAATAGTCATGTTTCGGAGCAAACTGCTGCACAGTACACCCGTCCTTAGGTTAGCGAACGAATATCTTGCCTACGCCATAAGTGACGCAAGTTGGCAAAAGCCAATCAAGCTTCCTGTATCCGTGCTGAGATTTCGTCAGTCACCAAGCCATCAGTGCTGATGAGACTCCTCAGATAAATGAAGCGGTCGACACGCTCAACTGCTTCACTCCCTATCACCAGTTCAGTTACCGATGTAACCCAATCCTCTCTATCACTAGTTCAGGTGTATTCAAATCATTGTTTGTATATCTTGAGACCATCGAATCAGTAATGCTGGTGTTAAAAAAATAGAGGAGTACTAGGGGTAAGGATGACATGTCAATTGATGACGTACTGTATCTTCATCAGTCGAAATGGTTAGGACATGTGTTACATATGCTACATCACCGACTGCCTTGACGAGCTATGTTTTGTTATGTAGGAGTAGAGAGGTGCTAGGGGGTGTAGGAAGGATTTGATTTTGACCAATTCGATCTCGTGTGATGTTACGGGGTTTGAGGGCGGTTGTCACTTCCCGGCTGCCCACACCACTGGAAGGTTGTTTAGTTCTTGAGGGACCTGAAAAGGAAGGTAGATTAGTGTTGGTATTAACCACCTGGGTGCGTGACCGCAGAGCCCAAGGGACAACTGCTTGAGGCCGGTCACTCACGGCCTTTTTATGGAGGGTTCTTTGAGTATTAGCTCCGCTCTTGAAAGCCCTCAGTGGACACCCTTACCGCCGGAGACGGAAATTCGTAAGTAAGAGTAGGAGTAGGTTGAAAGAAAGCTAGAGGCGGCCGAACCCAAAACATGATATAGCATGTTAGTAGGTATAGACTTACTTACCAGGTTGGGGTCCACGGATCAGCAGTAACCGATGGTTAGATAACGTGGATCGAATGGCTGAAAATCGTTTGCAATGTCGGAGATGCATCCATTCCTTGTGTTATTCCGAATTGGAATGTTCTAAAGTCCTCATGACCCTTATTTTTCTCTTCTCAAGTTTATTTCACTAGATTCTACTTCGTGAATAACTTCTTCGAACCCTAATCTCTCCGATTACTGCTGATACTTCTACTACCTCTTCTACTATGGGATTTTAATTGACAATTGCATCCGTCTGTGCTAATGTTGTGGTATGGCAACTTAGACTGATGTACTTACATACGAAGTTCTACATTGTTGCCGACTAACTAAATATTCCCGTTGTGATTTTATTAAAGAGTACACAATAGGTCAATTTCTGTTTGTATATTCACTCGCTTCCTGATCAGGTTACCTTGATATTGGTTGGTAAAAGTGGATTGTAGCTAACAGTAGAACTCAGAACGTGCTTTTTGTTCCTATATGTGGGACCCGTTAGTTTGGTTCTAATTTTACGGCAAATATCAACACTGGGCTGTAAGTGTATGCCCAGAACCAAACGTACATGATTTCCTATGGATCTGCGTTGATTGACTACCTACTGTCTAGTTCTTTTTTTTAGTGATCGAGTTCTAGGTAGGGATGGCAAATCGATAGATGAGGTGGTGAAACTTCATCCGTGGAGGTGGTTGGGACATGTGTTACGTGTGCCTAACCACCGACTGCAGCGACGAGCGATGTGAGGAGGGGTAGGCGTAGGTTGGAAGAAAGCTAGGGGCTGCCAAACCATTACATGACAGAAATCCATGAAGTCACTGACACGTGGACCGATTCATGTTGGTAGATGTAGGCTACCTAGTTGGGGTCCGCGAGACGTTAGTCACCATTTGTTAGAGACCTTCAACGACATGGCTCAAAATTGTTTACAGTGGTGCAGGTGCATCCATTCTTTGTGTTCTCTCCAATTCTAACCTTCTGAATTCCTCATCATCTCTATCTTTCTATTTCTAAATTTATCTCACTGAATTATACTTCTCGAATCATATCTTCGCTCCCTAATCTTCTCCATTACTGCTAATACTTCTATTATTGCTATCACTCTTGGATTTAAACTGACAGTCGTGTCTCAGTGCTAATGTGGTATGGGGTATGTACTTACGTACGAAGTTCTGCGTTGTATCTGTCTGTCTGTCTGATCGAGTTTTGTCGATCAGTCTGAAAGTAGCAAAATCATTCTATCATACCTCTTAAATGAGAATATTCCCTAGTGGCCTGCTTTTGAATATGTGGACTATGTGTTTCTTAACATCAACACTATCTCAACAAGTTATCACTTTTCGTTTGCCTTCACACATCAATCATGTCTGATAATCATCATATAATCTAGTGAGGTGCATACAACCTATCACTTCACAAGGTACAAAAATGTACAACCCGAAACATTGCAGTGGTTGATCATATATATATATATATATATTGAAAAGTAAACTTGTTGAGATGTTCCTCCATGTTAAAAATTCCATATTGTAGGATCCAAACTGATTGGTTTGGACTGAGGCATAATTGTCCAGGTAGTTTAGACCCGCGTTTTGACCCAGTTGAAATCCAAAACAAGTGTTTTGCTCAAATAACTGTTATAATATTCATCATAAATATAAATCTATACATCATTACCTAAACAAATATTACCACTCAGTTATTCCACCAACAATTGTTCAATTATTCATATAAATGATATTCCATCCCTCCTGGATAGATCAGATTCGTTTGAAAGATAATATTCGACTGCTTTATAGCACAGACTGTTTCCTATTCTGGAAGAGTGCTTCAATTCACAATCAAAATGCACAATTCCAGTCAGTAGCAAGCAACTCAATCAAAGGAGGCACAAATCAATATGGCTGTCGTCATGATTAAGTATTAGCTTAAACAACATAATAATAAATGCAGTTCAGAAAGAAACATTGAAACTCAGTAAAAGGCACAAAGAAATAGAAACTATAATCAAAAATACAAATATTATCATCATCTCCGAAATGAAATCGAACAGATTAAACAAAATGTACAACTGAAGGAGAATCAATTAAGGACAAATTACAAATGTATATATACATGGAGGAATTTTCATCAACCAAACTTACTTACTTACTTATTACTTACGCCTGTTACCCCCAATGGAGGAGCATAGGCCGCCCACCAGTTTTCTCCAACCAACTCTGTCCTGAGCTTCCCTCTCCAGTTCTGTCCAATGTTTGTTCATTCATCTCATATCTTTCTCTATTTCACGGTGTATTGTGTTTCTTGGCCTTCCTCTTTTCCTTTTGCCTTGAGGGTCCCATGTGAAGGCTTGTCTTGTGACACAGTTAGGTGCTTTTCATCATGTGTGTGTGTCCTATCCACCAACTCCACCGCTTCTTCCTGATTTCCTCCTCCACTGGAATCTGGTTTGTTCTCCTATCACAGTACGTTGTTGCTGATGGTGTCTGGCCAACGAATACGAAGTATTTTGCGTAGACAACTGTTAATAAACAGTTGTATCTTGTGGATGATGCCTTTCCTAGTTCGCCAAGTTCCCGCTCTCATAAAACAAAACCTTCAAAATGAAACTGATCTTACATTAGTAGTAGTAGTAATAACATTAAGAAGTAGTTTTCATGTTCAGATAGAATAATACCTGTTCACTTATTATTTCTTCATTTTAAGTAATACAAATTTACAATCGATAATGTAGTAGTTATCACGTGACTGGATCAACTTCATTCAAATATCAATTTTTTGAACAACCAATGGCAAGATACCTTGAATGAAATGGCTGAAAATCGTTTGCAATGGCGCAAATGCATCCATTCGTTGTATTCTGTCAAATTCTTATCTTCTGAATTTCTCATCACCTTCCTTTTTTTGCCCTGAACCTTTTTGATTCACTCTCATACTTCTACTACTATGGAATTTGAATTGACAATTCGATCTCTGTGTGCTATTGTGGTATGACAACTTGAACTGGCAGTAAGTACGTACCAAGTTCTATGTTGTCGGTTGACTGACTGAATATTAAGATTTTTCAGTTAGAGATATGGAGATTAGTGTTTCTACATATTTTGAAATCACCAGTCAATCATTGTTAGAACATCATTAGATACCTGGATGGCCGTTTCGTCCTGGTATGAGACTCATCAGTGGTAGTGCGTACCCATGACTTCTTCACCTGGCAGGATTCGAACCCAGAACCTTCGGTCTTGCGCGCGAACGCCTAAACATCGGACCACTGGGCCGGCACCCAGCGGTGTTAATGTCTAACTCTGATTGACCTAGGTGTTTTGCGCGACCTCACTCATTTACCTTTGGTAGTTACTGCCTACAGCCGAGAGGGTTGAACTCCATTGGTCACGTCTTCTCATTACTAGAACTCCGAGAATTTTCTCACGAAGCTAGTCACTAGTGAGCACTGTTACGATATTTTGGGGCAGAGTTTTTGGAGGTTTGTGTTTTTACACCGTCGGATACCGGCCCAGTGGTCCGATGATTAGGCGTTCGCGCACCATACCGAAGGTCCAGGGTTCGAATCCTGCGAGGTGCAGGAGTCGTGGATTTGCACTGCTGACGAGTCGTATACCAGGCCTAAACGGCCTTTCAGTGCTTCCAGGTTTCTAATGATGGTCTTACACTAATGATTGACTGATGATTTCAAATGTATAAAAACACAAAGCCTCCATAAATCTGCCCGAAAAAACCAGTTTTATCTAATACACTCACAAAAAAATTAAGGTTATCAAAGCGAAACAAGACTTGTCACTATTTCTTTTTGGATAAATAAATCCGGACTTAAGTTTTTTTTTATTGGAGCAGCTTCAGTAGTAAGTAACACGTGACCATTCGAATTGCTATTGTTATTATTGACAATTTTGAGAAATTTCAAACAGATGATAAGCTGCTACTATTGTGGGTAATTGAAAAGCTTTTATCCCCTTTTAGTTCTTAACTTTTCTGAAGTATATACAGAGGTGTTACGCCTGCACGTAAACAGGTCATTTTGAGATGCTTGAACTATTACGAGTTTACCTAGTCGGAAACGAGAGCGAGGATCCGGTGACACGACATGCTACTCAAATCCGATTATTACAACCCCCATATTTCGTTAAAATAAGAGGACATGATATGAAGTAGAACCTTTATTCTACAAGCATCCAGAAAGTACGAGGTCCGAATCCAGAAGAGAATCAGGATCCCGGACTAGGGATCCGGGACCGAGCGCTGGTCCTGGTCGTGGTCATAAAACATTCTAGATAATGCGTATTTATACATTTTGGTCGAATAGGAAACAGCATCGAATTCTGTGGCATTGTTAGTTAAGACGACCAATAGGAAGTAACATTTGAAGTGACATTGATAGTCAGGACAACCAATAAGAAACAACATTGAAGTATTTGACCTTGACAGTTATAACGACCATAATTTTGACCAATAGAAATCTACCAATGGGAATTGACCTATAATTCTCTTAGGATATTGGATGAATATCCTAACAAGAGGTGCATCGAAAGTAACAGAAATTGGGGTTTTTCTGTCCTTATCCTCCAGTTTACATGTATGTGCCAAAGCACCCAGCATCGGGTGAATAGAACAAGAAGAAAGTCTTTATCGGCATTTTGTTGTTTTACTGAGCGTAAAAAAAGCAACAACAGTCTCATTTGTTCGGTGTAGATGCATCCGCCGATATCGAAATCGAAAGACATTTTTACTCAAGAGTACAATGTTATGAAATCTATTCTATGAGATCGTGGAGAAAACTTGTAGCTCAGGTGGATGACTGTGGTGGTGTTTCGTTCTCTGAGCTGGTTGTTTTGGTTGTGGAGCTTTCATTGTTCTGCTGAACAACATCATCAGCACAAACTTCAGATAGAAGTGAAGCATTCGAATTTCTCCACATTTGACCAGTAGCTTGTTCTGTTAACCTAGGTCTTGATTGATTGCTGTTGACCTCAAATCTGTCGTTGTTTGCACCATTGTTTTGATTGCATCCCCCTTTTGAACTGTTTCTTGATTCTATGTTTGCCTATGATTTTTCTGATTTGTTGATAAATTGGGTCAATGTCGAATGCTTCACTTCAGCTATATGAAGTTTTTGTTGATGATGTTGTTCAGCAGAAGAACAATGAAAGCTCCACAGCCAAAACATCTTGCTCGGAGAACGAAACTTCATCACAATCTATTCTATTCATGCATATTTTTCTTTAATTAAAATATCCAATTTAGCCAATGAATTTGATTTTTTTTATTTTCAATTATTAGAAAGAAAAATCTGACACTACTTCAGTTCAACAACAACAAGACACACCGTCTGCCGCCTCTTCTTCTTCTTCTTCGACTACCGCCACTACCAACAGCCAGATTACTACTACTACTGCCACTACCACTACTACTACTACTACTCATGTGTTACAAAGTAGTAATGAAAGCAGTAGCAGTAGCAGTAACAAATCAATCAGTTCAGATCAACAACACAAAAATCAACCAATCACTGAAGAGATTTCTTCATCCAGCTGCATTGATAAACCACTAGACAATAATAATAATAATATTCAAAATCAGGATTCCATTGAAAAACCAACATCACAGACGACAACAACAACAACAAACTTACACGAACACAGCACTGCATCGAACACTGATGATCGATTGGCGAATAATACACTAACAAAAACCGATGATAACAGTAATAGTAGTAGTAGTAGTAGTACAGAAATGAATAAAAACACAACACACAAAATACAAACTGATACCACCGATGAATTAGTAGTACACAATAGAACAGCAGTACCGGCGGTTGGTCGATCAGTCAACACGTCGAACCGTCATGCTCATGTTGTATCAAGTCAACACACCAGACAATCTACATCACTTGTTCAATATCATACTGCAACAGTATGTGCTGTCGGTGTAGCTATCGCTTTATTCATTGTTGTTATACGTCGACTGGCAATCATCTTGCAAGATGCTTAACTAAACGACAGAGACAGAGGGGAAAACACGAACTCGACATCTTCTTCTTGTGTGTTTGTTTATATTAATAGCGTGCTATTTTTTTTCTGTCAATGTTCATTTTGAACAACACTGTTCAATTTTATTTGAAAACTGCCGCCTTCCTGTTTTTTTTGTTTTGTGATTTGTTTTGGTTTTTTTTTTTTTAATTTTTGTCATTGTCAAGTTGAATATTTAAATATCCCTCCGATTTTTTTTGAAATTCCAAAATGATAAATTTAAACAAAACAACATTGAGCATTTGATCATGTATTTATTTATTGCCTTAGTTTGTTTAATGAATGCTTACATCCTTGATTCACGGCTTCTCACTTCTTCATAACATTGAACATGTAATATGGCGGGTGATTTTTTGTTTAAATCAAACTTCTCATTATTTGATTAAAAAAATGCAACTTGTGTTGTGTTTATTATATTTATTTATCATAAATAATAATAGTAATAATAAGTTAGTGTAATTATAAAGTGATTTTGACAACATTTGTTATTTGATGAGAAGAGGTCTTTTTTGCTTGATCTTAAGTAGTTTGTAAGTGATATGTTCGTCACTACTAGGTATGCTTGAGGCTATTACAAGTTTACCTTAGTCGATAAACGCGAACGAGACAATGAACCAGCATCCAGATAGGCTACCTTGAATCCCAAGCGGAAGTAAGGAGGCTTTGTAAGCGTAGAAAGTATATTCTACAAACACCCAGCAAGCACAATGAATCTCAAGCACACAATTCTCGTTTATTTATACATCATAGAAACGTCCTTGAGACAGTTATGAAAATAGCACACTAAGATACACAGCGGCCAATCACAGCCATGGCTTTTCCTGGTGGGAGATGAAATCTCAAGATTAACTGATCCGCCCATGCTGGCAAACGTGAAATCCAAAATAAGGCATTTAACAAGCGAGTTTTGGGGATCTCACATCCCCAACACTCCTCCCCTTTTTAATAGCGTGTACTCCTGGGGTCGACTTGCATCTTGATTGTCGTTCGACGCTGTCTGAGAGGATGCCTTCGGGAACGAAGAACAGCTTGCTGCCGAGTTTCTTCTCGTGGCGGAGCTGCCAGTAGGTTGAAGGTATCAAGCAAGATGTCAAGGGGAAGGCTTTCTGCTCTTGATGGGCGATCTGGGGCTAGCCGTCTGCGTATCTGATTTCGATGACGTGACCATTTATCACCTCCTACCTCTACTTCGTACATAACTCGACCAACTCTTCTAACCACTCTCGCTTCTGCCCAAGGACCATGGTTCGTTCTGTAGTCGCTGGCAAACACATGGCATCCTTCTTCGTAATCGGATTGTCTTTGCGGCTTTGTCTCCACTGATGTTGGTGCATCAGGCTGTGGATCGTTTTCAATCTTCTTCCCCACCAGGATTTCTGCTGGGGACATTTGCTCCGGTAACAACTCATTTGGTGTTGTCCGACAGACGTACAAGAAATTTTATAACGCGTCGGCTGGTGTCCTCTCCCCTTTTGACTTTAGCAATGCTCTTTTAAACGTATCCACAAACCTTTCCGCCTGCCCATTCGATTGCGGGTGGTATAGTGGCGAGCGTAAGTGTGTTTAATGGCTAGCCGTTGACAGAAAGTTTGGAATTGGGAAGAGGTGAATTGAGAGCCATTGTCGGATACTACCACATCTGGTATGCTGGCAAACGTGAAATCCAAAGGCATTTAACAAGCGGATTTTGGGGATCTAACATCCCCAACAGTAAGTAAATAAATTGAACTATACAGTCAGTCAGTTATAATGTAGAACTTCGTACGTAAGTACATCAGTTCAGGTTACCATACCAAATCAGCACTGAGACGTAACTGTCAGTTCAAAAAATCCAAGATTGATAGCGATAGTAGAATTATTAGCATCAATGGAGAAGATTAGGGAGCGAAGATATGATTCGAGAAGTACAATTCAGTGAGATAAGTTTAGAAAAACGAAGTGAGAGGAGTTGACGGATACAGAGGATTAGCATTTGAGATCACACAAAGAGTGATTGCACCTGCACTACTACAAACTTTTTTCAGACATGTCATTCAAGGTCTCTAACCATTGGTGAATTTCGTCTCGCGGACCCTAACCAAGTAGCCTGCATCTATCAACATGACTCAGTCCACTTGTCAGTGACTTGATGGATTTCTGCAATGTTTCGGTCCGGCCGCCCCTAGCTTTCTTCCAACCTACTCCTACACCACAAAACATAGCTCGTCAAGGCAGTCCGTAGCTAGGCCTACGTAACATATATATATCCCAACCACCTCAACTGATAAAGTTTCACTACTTCATCTATTGATTTGCCATCCCTACCTAGAACTCGTTTCTTTACGACAGCATTGCTTATACATATAGTTGTATTGTATTTTTTTTGTATTCAACAATGTGCATATATTTACGTAAAATTCGAAAAACAAAAGTACTTGTGAACAAGACAAACTGTCAACAACAATTCATTTGTATGTTTTTGAAGTTATTAATTTCAAGAATAAACTTTAATAATTCAGCTTAGGCATTATTCTTCCCGACCATAGCTTGCTGCTGCCTTAACGTAGTAGTGGTCGAGCTTGCCTATCGTGATGACCTAACCAAGCTTTATTGTTGGCTGGAACATATTTTCACTTAGGTTCTACTATGCTAGGAAGGTTGACTGAAGAATGGTAACACAATATGCAGCATCTGAAGATCTGAGGGCGAAGTCGTACTGCTGACTGACTGCAGAGGGGTGTGACAGCAGTAAGGTGTTTCCCTCGGACAACTAGTATCTGCAGCGATACCGCTTTCTCACAAGAAAGAAGGAGGTTAGAAAAGATCGACCGTAAAAATGTCACACCTTACCTTACTTGACGGATTTCCGTCTCCGGCGGTAAAGCCTCTTAAAAAAAAGAGCGGAGATAACACTTCGCAAACTTGCCATAAAATGGCCGTGAGTGACCGACCTCTAACAATTGTACCTTGGACTCTGCGGTCACGCTCTCAGACCAACACTAATCCTATTTCCTTTTCAGGTTCCTCATGACACTCTTCTACAGTGTGGGCAACTGGCAAGTAACATCCGCCCTCATACCTATAACAGCACACGATATCAAATCGATCACAATTAAATTTGATGTTATGCTGTCTTAATCGTGGTTTAAATCAAATTTTATTAATGAAGGGAATTTGTAGAGATTGAATTATTTTCATGGTCGAAATTACGAACTGATTAAAGTTAGACTAACATTAGAAACCTGGAGGCACTAGAGAGCCATGTCATTATAGTATAGGTAGTAGAAGTATTATCTGTAATGGAGGAGATTAGGATTCGAAGGAATTATTCAAGAAGTATAATCCAGTGAGACAAATTTAAAGAGACAAAAAGGTCACATGGAATTCAGACGATTAGAATTTGAGAGAACACAACGAGTGTATGCACTTGCCCCATTGCAAACGATTTTGAGCCATGTCGTTCAAGGTCTCTAACCATTGGTTACTATCATCTCGCAGACGCCAACCGAGTAGTCTGCATTTATCAGCATAACACAGTCTAATTGCCAGTGACTTTATGGGTTTCTGCCATGTTTTGGTTTGGCCCCTTCTAGTCTACTCCTATATCACAAAATATCGCTGGTCGAGGCAGTCTTTGGTTGGGCATCTGTAACACGTTTCACCAACCACCTCAACTGATGAACATTCACTACTTCATGAGTTTATCGGCCATCCTTACGTAGTATCATTTTCCTAACCCCATGATTGCATACTCCATGGTCCGAGTGCCCATGATCGAATACTAGTAACTGACGAATATTCTCTACTCTGACTGGCCATGTTTGGCAACCATAAAGTAGAACGAAGAGACCTGCTGCGTAGTAGACTTGTCCTTGAATCAGCAAACGGATATCAGACCTGGGTCATAAGTGACGCAGGTTGGCAAAGCCAATAGAACCTTCTGTATCCGTGTTGAGATTTCGTCACACACTAGGCCATCAGCACTGATGAGACTCCCAAGATAAGCGAAGTGGTGAACACGCCCAGCTGCTTCACTCCCTATCACTAGTTCAGATGCCGATACAAGCCAACCTTGAAGCGACATTTTGCACTTCGACGGGGAATAATTGCAATCCGAACATGCTTGCATTGTTGATTACGGTGGTTGGAAGACTGCATTTTGTCAGCGTATTCACCTAACAGAACTATATCAATTGCCTATTCTAAGTCTATAGGTGAATCTTCCGGCAAAAGTTAAGTTCCTGAAAAGTTCTACGATGAAAGTGTCGTCTCTAAGAGCATGTCAATAACAAAGTTAAATAAGAGTGGAGTAGACAACCCTAAAGAACAGCACTCGAGGTAAGAAATGCGGATAAAAGTTCACCATAAGCTCTCACTCAACCAGTAGTGTTCGAGTAGAGAGCCTATATATGGTTAATGTACTTCTTTGGTACTCCTTTCACAATGAGACACTGCCTCAGAACTCCATGACTGGCAGTCAGATGCCGCCTTAAGGTCGATGAATACAACTATTTTGGGAGGTCTGAAACTGCGTCTATGTGTTCTAGGACCTGACGAAGTGTGAATATGTGGTCCATATATCCACATTTGAGACTAGCCTTGTTTTCACGAGCTGTAGTTAAGCGTCGAATTACTATGGAGGTTAACATTTTAGACACTATATTAGTTAAACTGATCCCTCTATTGCGTAAACTATCTTTCAACGGGATGAATATAGCTTGGTGACAACAAATACAACATACAGGAAGCTACATAATGCATCTACGTTATAGGAACCGATTATAAATTGTGTCCATTAAGGCATCTAATCACATACTACGATTATCTTATCGAAACCAATAAATCTTCACTAACCAAAACGACTCATGACATAAATAATGAATTCTCAACACAAGGTTATGAAGATTGTTGAATTCCATTGAAATCATGCTTCAATGAATGTTAGACCACCGGTAGAAACCTGGAAGCACTGGACGACCGTTTCGTCCTAGTATGGAGCTCATCGGCAGTGCTCATCCACGATTTCTGGTCGCAGGACTCGAATCGAGGACCTTTGGTCTCGCGCACGAACGCTTAACCTCTAAACCATACTGAGCCGGCATTCAAACGAAATTAGTTTCTAACTTTCATCAATCCATGGTCTTGCACGACCTCATCGATAGTCTTCAGTGGGCAACCCAACGATCTCTGGTTCGATTTCCACAGGCAGATGGTCATAGATGTACAATGCTGATGAATCCCATACTAGGAGACAGCCATCCAATGATTCCAGGTTTCTAATAGTGGTCTAACATTGGTCAATTCGTGATTTTAACAAATAATAAATGACACATTATGAACTGAGACCAATTCAACTGCCTCCCCACAAATCAATCAATACAAGATATCA